CAACTCACAGGAAGAGCGTCCTGGGGACACACTGTGCAAATGAACTGCGGGGAGGGAGAGGGGAGGAGCTGGAATAGAGAGGTATGTGATTTTAATGGTGGGATTCTCTGGCAGATGAAGTTGGTTTTAAAATTGAGAATAATTTAATTCACTGGTAAATCGATGATCTTTCCTCATCCACCTCCTCCCAGTGGATCATCAAACCCTGTAAAACTCATCCCATATTGATCCCTCTCATTCTATGGAAGCAGGCGATGTTCCTTTGAAGAAGACAATGATGATGATGATGGTTTGGGATCTGTTTACATTTCTTTTCTCTTTCCCCAGACACAACTTCTCGGCAAAGTTAGAATTAGGTCAGTAAGTTTACCACTGATGCCATCCCTCACCACATGTACATATCTGTTTCAAAAAGTCATAGAGCTGAAGCATAGCACAGGTTTGTTAATAACCTGGAAAAAAAAGGTAGATAGAGGAGAGAGGTATCAAATCTGATGGTGATGGAAGGTTTGCAACTTCTCACTGGGATGCAGTACCAACACCAGAATTTTTCAGTCAATTATTTCTTATTGAGAGCAAAGAGTTATGTAATTATACCAACAATGGGTGTTAAAAAGAGAATAAAGGAGTAAAAGAACATTGAAAAAGAAAAAAAAAAAAAGGACTGCAGAATAACATAGGTTTCTAAGCATGGTTATTTGAGAAATAAGAAACCTGAAACAGAACATGGATTTTAATTTTATAGGATTGTTTAAAGCTATGCTACAATAAGAAAAAAATTACCCCTCAGGATAGACCAGCTGTCTGCAAGGTGAAGAGCATAATGAGTCATATGTTACCCCATATAATCCAGAGAGCAACTTGAATGGTGGGTTTATTTATTAATTTTTAATTAAAAAGTGTTTGTGTTAATCTTCACCTGAGATTATTTTTCTATTGATTTTTAGAGAGAGAGGAAGGGAGGGGGAGAAACACACAGAGAGAAACATAGATGACACACATCAATTAGTTGCCTGTTAGTTAGATTCCACATATAAGTGAGATCATATGCTATTTGTCTTTCTCTGACTGCCTTATTTCACTTAATATAATACTGTCCAGGTCCATCCATGCTGTTGCAAAGGGTAAGATTTCCTTCTTTTTTATGGCAGAGTAGTATTCCACTGTGTAAATGTACCATAGTATGGTGATTACCAGAGGGAATTGGGCTAAGGGGATGTAGGAGATGGTAAACAGGGGATAAATGGTGGTGGAAGGAGACTTGACTTGGGGTAGTGAACACACAATACAATATACAGATGATTGAACTGTAACCCTAAAACCTATTTAATTTTATTAAACAATATCACCCCAATAAATTCAATAAAAAAGAAAACATATTAATGAAGGAAGAAGTAAGTCCCATTGTCAGTGTTTCCTTTGGCATTCTGGGAAATAATCTGCTTAGGGTGGCTGCACATATCTATTTGCTCAGCAAAGCTAATTTTAGCTGAGGACAAAAATATGTAGAGAGCAATGACACATTTTTGCTAACAGTGCTAGGCTATCATGCCAGATCAGGCCCTCCCCCCCCACCTAAAAAAACACAAAAAACACCCATGAAATATTGAGACACATCAGAAGTTTCAATTCTTTCAGAAGAGAAGAAAATTATCACTTGGGAGCAGAAAAGAAATGATCCATTTACTTCAGAAATATGCAAAGCAAATTTAATCTCTTTCTCTACCTCTTCAAAGAATAAATGTTTTCTTTATTTTTTCCTCTCCTCCAAGAAGCCTTTTCCTCTGTAGCTATTATACTATTCCAATTAAAACCTCATATTTTAGAGACATAGCTAAATTTTTCATTTTAGCATATATTTAATATTAACCCCAGACCACATATTTCCCAGGATATACTACAACACAGTTTAGGCTGAAGTTTCTTTGGTTATATTGTGGATGTGTGGATTATCCACACATTTAGAAACCATCCACATACTTTATAGCTGTACAATTTTAAACATGTCAGACAGATACCTTCTGGTCATGTGATATTGGGAAATTTATTTAACACCTCTCTAAACTGGTTGTTAAAGTGGGGCTCATGACAGTGCCTGCCTCTCATAAATATGCAGATGAAATGAAAAGATCTTTGCAAAACATTTAGCCCAATACTTGGATCATAAAGAATGCCTACTTATTATTTATGATTGCATTATTATTGCTATTATTTGTGTAATTTTAATAGTTTTCCTGTCTAGCTTATCTTCAAAATCTCATCAGCCATCTACTGCCTCTCTAGATTCACTGAAAATGTTTACTTAGAGGCTATACCATACTTCTAAGTGCCGAAGTAAAGCCATTACCTGGATATAACATAAAGCCCATGGAATATGAAAATAAAGTCATAGGGGGCAATTGTGGAGAGGAAACATTTTATAGTGAAATCCCAGATAAGTCTCTAGATAAGTCACATTACAGTTATAAAAAAGACATAAAGACTAAAAATTGTTTTCACTCTAAGAAAAAAAATCAAAAGACAGTACCAATTTTTATCCTCCCTTTGTTTATAAATCAACATGACACCATATTTTTATCTCTTCGCAATTTTTTTAAAGTAAAACAGTTTTAACAAAAAGCATTGTACTAAACACACACACACACACACACATCCACACACAATAGCTAGACTCTATAGCAACATGTCATCTTCAACCCAATTTCATGAACCTGTTCATGATTTGAAGCCTAAACTTACTTACATGGCCTTCGTTAGTTAGTTAGTTAGTTAGTTAGTTAGTTAGTTAGTTAGTTAGTTAAACTTAGTTTTCACTCTTATTTTTCCACAAGGTATAGGTTTCTCCAATTGCATGTCCTTTGCTGTTTGTATGGGATGCCAGAAAACTGTCTCCATATTTCCATAGATGACCATGACAGGCATAAATGCTGAGACAGTTATAGAGCGAGTGCCCAACAAAGATGGTGGCTACATTCTGCCCATCACAGCTTACAGTGGAAAAGGAAAATTTTCTTCATTCTATGAAACAACTAGCAGAAGGCCACTGGTTCAAAAGTAAACAAACAAAAAACTCCAACAATTCAAAGACCCAGGCTTTGTTTTAAAACATCTTGGCCTATATTTAAGAAAACTAAGTAGACAGCATGAACTTAAGAAAATACAAGGAATCTTTAAATCTCAAGTCAGCTCTTGCAGAGGAAAAAGGAATTCTCTAAACAGAACAGCAGTTGCTGGCTTAAGGAACTATAGGCCCTGCCAAATTGTAATATAGCCTTACATACTCGTCTGTAATTATTGTTTTTCTCATATGACTGCACAGCTCCCATAGAAAGAGATAACATTAACAAATGAATCTTTGCTCCCCCGGAAACTTGTGATGCAGAAACAACACTCACCAGTATCTGCTAACTTTTCTTTCCTGGGCCTAGAGAAGACTATAACGCCTTAGCACCCTCCCACCACTGCCTTCACAATTAGGTGGGGCCATATGATTCCTGACACATGGATTGTAACAGAATATAAGTGTGTCTCTTTTAAAGGAGGCAGAGAGCCCAGCCAGCATGGCTTAGTGGTGAGCATCGACCCATGAACCAGTAGGCCACTGTTAGATTCCTGGTCAGGGCACATGCCCAGGTTGTGGGCTTGATCCCCGGTAGGGGGCATGCAGAAAGCAGTCAATCAATGGTTCTCTATCATCTTTGATGTTTCTATCTCTTTTTCTCTCTCCCTCTCCCTTCCTCTCTGAAATCAATAAAATATATTTTAAAATAGACTCTGGTTATATTTTAGATTGTACACATTTCTTTCATGTGCATTATCTCATTTGACCCCTCTGGCATCCTTATAAACATCATCACAAATAACTTGTCACATGTCATCTAGGTAATCAGTGTCTGAGAATCTGTATCCCAGTGGTACAAAGATGCTTTCCCTTACAAACAACGAAAAGGCTTCTCGTCCTGTAGCCAATGAACTCTCCAACCTCAGAGTGCTCTGCATTATAAATTGAATTTCAAAAAATCACATTATTTAGCAGTGATAATGAATATCAATGTACCTGTAAGACAGAGCTTTACAAAACTAGAAAGATTTACATCTGATGAGCTTAAGGAAAACAGATAAAAAATAAATAAGTAAATAAATAAGTAAAGGAAGGAAGGAAGGAATGGAAGGAAGGAAGGAAGGAAGGAAGGAAGGAAGGAAGGAAGGAAGGAAGGAAGGAAGGAAGGAATAAAGGAAAAAAGAAAGGTCATTAAGTTCCTTGATCCTCCTATATGCCCCTAAAACTCCATGGAGACAATGACTTAAAACCCCAAGTCTTCCTTATCCTTGACTCCTTTGCCCTTGACACTCTATAACCCAGCTTACGCCATACAGAGACACCAAACATGCACATGCTTGATGAAAGCTTTTATAGCTGCCATTACATAATGAATTTGCTGTCAGTCTGTCTAAAATGTGCCTGTTGAATAAATGAGCAGAAAGAAAGCCAATCTTTGCTATAAGCAATGGAATTTTCAACTAACTACAATCAACTTGGGCATACCTACCCTGCACTGCAGTGCATCTCCAGCATCCTTACTCATTCATGACACCTGAACTTTTCAGCAATGAGGAGAACAACATAAGGCAATAAACAATAAAGAAACATTTACTATAGTTTTGTTAAAAAGTTGTTTGTACTGTTAGGATGTAATACAGTAAGTTACCAACCATATTCAAAATCAGGTGTATTTTCCAAATATTTTATCTAAATCCATGCCATATACAGAGATATCTGTACACAATGCAACATTTTTAACTAGAATGTTAGCCATCTTCAAAATGCTTGAACTCTGTTATTGAGGTATATATAGTAAATGCATCATTTTTCTAAAAGGCTCTTGATGATTACAACATGGAAATCTCACTAAATGTTAGGAATAAAATTAAACGTCACATAAGTAGAATTGCCCATTATAGACTTGGAAAGAGAAGGCCAAAGAGGTCATACAACTTACCACAGGTCCCACTGTTGTCTTCACTGACAAGCTGAGTGACTCTGGGTGAGTCCCCTCTCTCTCAGCCTCAGTTTCTTGATCTGCAAAAATGAGGTGATTGGACTAGATGATGAAAGAATCCATACAGCCTGACAATGCCATTATTCAGCAAAACTAGGGGCCACATCTAGAACATTCTCCTTCCAAAGCAACATACAAGAAGATGAAAAGATATTTAAAGGGCACTTGGCACTACTGGTGTTCCAGCCACTGAGACTGGATCTAAACTTGAGACTTCAGCATTGCAGAGGTTGCTGGTGCCCACCACAGACAAGCAAAGCAGGAGACAACAGCCATGGGCATGCTCTTTGCCTGAGAAGGGCTGCGATCGAGTATTGCTTCAGAGTGATGGTCAATCATCTCCTCCCCCTCTCAGAGGATCTGACTTCCTCTGTTGGGCTCTGCCTCAGGCATCTCTCCTCAAGGTTCATTGGAGCCCTGGGAGTCCAGCACTTGACCTAAACCCAAACAAAGATGTATTTCCTTCTGGAAGACTCCCCACCCGGACAAGTCATTCAAAATCAACCTTAAAAACCACTCCAGGCTCCAGGGAGCTGCCTATTTTAGCATCTTTTAATTAGCTGTCTGCCCTTGTCTGTAGGGAAATCTTTGTATTTTATTACAAGTTTATTAGCTTAACAAACAAAGAGTTGGTGTGTTTAGGAAAAAAGGCAGATTGAATGGAGGACCTGCCTTGATCATGGGCCATGCTTTAACCCCTTTACTTACTTCCCATTCCTAACTCTTATGGGAAAGTGTCTTTCTGGCTTTTATTTATTTTAAATGTTTCCATCCCTCCCTTTTTCATATTTATGTTGTTACTATTTTCTAGTGAGAAACCTGAAAGTCAAGCAATGGTTTAGGGTATTTAAAGGATATTTAAATATATGACTCAGCAAGGCAGAACCCAGATTCATGGATGTAGAAGTGGACACTGCCAATGTCCCTATTAAGTTAACCATTAAGCCAGAATTTAATTAATTGGGCTCATTAAAAAAATATGCACAAGTGAACCTGAAGTATTGTGTTCTATTAGCTATAACATATTGAAGAAAAGCTAGTATCGCCTGCCAGCATAGCTCTGTGGTTGAGCATCAAACTATGAAGCAGGAGGTCACGGTTCTATTCCCGCGCAGGACACATGCCCAGGTTGTGGGCTCGATCCCCAGTGTGGGGCATGCAGGAGGCAGCTGATCCATGAACCTCTCTCATCATTGATGTTTCTGCCTCTCTCTCCCTCTCCCTATATATCCTATCTAATAAAAGAGAAACATGATAATTGGCATACGACCACTACCCTTCCCATTGGCTAATCAGGGCAATATGCAAATTAACTGCCAGCCAAGATGGCGGCCAGCAGCCAGGCAGCTTGAAACTAACATGAGGATCGCTTGCTTCAGTGACAGAGGACTCCAATGTTCCCCACCTGCCGCTGCAGGCCTCTGAGCTGCAACTCTAATCAACTATGTAACAAATATAGAAGCTAAACAAAACCCCAGAAACCTGCTTTAGTCTGCCGCTGGTCCGCCGCCGGGCTTCAGCCAGCAGGATCGCAACATTGTTTCGAATACAGAAGGTAAACAAAGGCCAGCGGAGGCCTAAGAGCTGGAGACAAGCCTCAGGGCTAAAGCTGGCCCAAAATAAAAAAAAAAAAAAGAAAAATAAAAAAAGGTGTGGTTGGGAGCTTCAGTCAGCCCCAGCCTGAAAACAGCCCTCAGCCCCTCATCCAGGCTGGCCAGGCACCCCAGTGGGGACCCCCACCCTGATCCAGGACACCCTTCAGGGCAAACCTGCCAGTACACACCCGTGCACCAGGCCTCTACCCTATATAGTAAAACGGTAATATGCCTCCCAGCACCGGGATCAGCGGAGCCGCGAGACCTCCCAGCACCGGGATCAGCATGACAGGGGGCAGCGCCCAAATCCCCTGATCGCCCTGTGGCTCTGTGTGTGACAGGGGGCGGGGCCATAACCTCCCTATCCACGCTGCTCTGTTCATGACAGGGGAAGGCGCACCAACCCCCTGATCAGCCCTGCTCTGTGCCTGATAGGTGGAGCTCCCCAACCCCCTGATCGCCCTGCGGCTCTGTGTGTGACAGGGTGCGGCGCCCCAACCCCCACCCCCCCGCGGGCCCTGCTCTGTGTGTGACGGGGTAGAGCCATAACCTCCCCATCGGCCCTGCCCTGAGTGTGACAGTGGTGGCGCCCCAACCCCCTGATGGGCCGTGCTCTGTGCATGACAGGGTATGGAGCTCCAACCCCCGTCATGGGCCCTGCTCTGTGAGTGACAGGGGGCAGTGCCCCAATCCCCTGATTGGCCCTGCTCTGTGCATGACAGGGGCTAGCGCTGCATCCTCCCCATCAACCCTGCCTTGAGTGTGACAGGGGACGGTGCCCCAACTCCCCAATCGGCCCTGCTCTGAGCCTGACCAGGGGTTGCACCTAGGGATTGGGCCTGCCCTCTGCCACCTGGGAGCAGGCCTAAGCCAGCAGGTCGTTATCTCCCGAGGGGTCCCAGACTGCGAGAGGGCACAGGCCGGGCTGAGGGACCCCCTCCCCCCCAAGTGCACAAATTTTTGTGCACCGGGCCTCTAGTATATATATAATGATCAACCAGGAGAAAAATTGAATAAATGATGTCTAATCCAATAAATAGCAATTTTGTTATTATCATGATTAGGATCATCTATATAAAGTGCTTATTACATGTTGGGCACACTCCTAAACACTTTACATGATTACACAGTTTTAATCCTATAGAAACGCTGCAATGTTAACCCTAAAGGAGGCATGGGGAGATGGAAGAGAGCCAAATAGTGCCCTCAAAGATAGATTTAGTTGTTGACAAGGGACAATCATAAAATTTTCATTGGCTATATTAGGCAAAACCAAGATGGGAAGGTACAAGGAAACCCAGTTTTGCTCAACTGCTATTCATACACAGAAACTGGGAAGCAGATGCTCCCTGTTTGCAGAGAGTGTGCTCATTGCTAAAGGTACTCAGCAAAGGGACTCTCTGACCAGCTCTTGGGGATGCCATAGAAAGACACCCTGGCCCTGGCTGGTTCGGTTCAGTGGATGGAGCGTCAGCCTGTGGACTGAAGGATCCCAGGTTCGATTCCAGGCAAGGGCGCATGCCTGGGTTGTGGGCTCAATGCCCAGTGGGGGCCAAGCAGGAGGCAGCCGATCAATGATTCTCTCTCATCATTGATGTTTCTATCTTTCCATCCCTCTCCCTTCCTCTCTGAAATCAATAAAAATATATTTAAAAATAAAGACATCCTGCTAAGAGATGAAAGTACTGAGAGCCTCTAAGGATCTGCCAAGCCTGCAAGGCTGGACAGAAGTAATATATGAATGCTGAGTGTATATCTATGAAAATCAATGAACCAATCAAGACACAGATGGACAATCTTAGAGAAAATCATACTTGTGTGCGCCTCTCTCATAGCACTCATTATATTCTACCTGTGTGAAATCTATCTGTGTCCTTTTATCTTCATGCTATTAGATGAGAAGTTCATTGAATCTTGACTCCTCACATATGAACTATTAACCTTGGGAAAGATGCTCATTTTCCTCTCCTGTAATAATGGAACCTGTCACACAGGGTTGTCAGGAGGAATACATTTGGTTGTATATTTAAATGATTTAGCCCAGTGGCTAGCACTAGTAACAACAAATAACATTAAATAGAGCTCTTTATTATCATTATTTTTATGACTGTTATTTACTATTATTATTTTTGTGGTTATTTCTAAGCCATATGAATGTCTCAGGTTCCATAACTTTGATAGACAACTTTACATTCTAAGAGATCAATCAAAGCAGCTACATTTTATCTGCCAACCTGCCAATCTTAATTGTCTGAGGAGAGGGAAATAAATCAAACCAACCACCTTTTCGATGAATGACTACATCGAAGAAGAATTCAATAACATGTTTTCAAAGTGCTGCTCTCTTAACTAAAAAATATGGAGTGAACAAAAGAGAAAAAAACTGATATATTTTATTCCATAATGTTAAAATTATTATTTAAAGCTCATTGCACACATGATGAAGGACCATACATTTCTCCTTTTAGTGAAGGAACTATTATATGCCTTTGCAATTAATTAATGTTGCCTCCAATATTCCTATAAAAATGAATGGCAAATTCATTTGAATGTGGCATCTGGAATAGCAGGGCCCCTTGTCCAGTTCTTATGTGTTAATATCAACAAGATGAATTTTAAGTGGTATGTGTGCAAACTGGTTTGAGATAAGCAAATTCTACACTGAAATTTACACCAATATTTTTCCAACAATTTTAACAGTAGAGCTGTTGTTTGAAAGACTATGGTAGGTGTGACATAAGCAAAGCCACTTAAATTCCTATCATTGGCTGAGAAAGTGCCTCATTCTTCATGGAGGTCTTAAAACACATCTTTAGAATCTGAAAGCAGTTAGAAAAACATTCTTTAATAAAAATATCTTATACTATTAATGAGAAAAAGAAGTGCCCAAAATAGGAAGTTATTTGACCATGTCTCACAGCTACTTAATGGTTAAAATTAGATTTATGACTCATTTATTCATTTAGCTCGTGTTTATCGAGAGACCTCCATGTGCCCATTCTGTGCTAGGCTTCCAACATATACTGTGCTTATTTTGTTAATTTATTAAATTTCCATTTGACAACTATTCATTTGTTATCTACACGGTGCAGGCACTGTGTTTGGTACAATGTGCGGAGGTGAATGTAAGTAAGACCTGCTCTCTGCCACAGCACTCTTTTTTTTATTTTTATTTTACTTATTGATTTTTAAAGAGACAGGAAGAGAGAGATTTGTTGTTCCACTTATTTATGCATTCATTGGTTGATTCTTACATGTGTTCTGACCAGGGATTGGACACACAACTTTGGCATATCACGAGGACATTCTAACCAATTTAGCTACCTGGCTAGACTTTTTAAAAGCTAGTGAAGAATGTACCAAGTACAGAAATAGTTATAGTAATTGGTAGAATGTAGTTAATACCAGAAGAAAGCAAGATAATT